ATTCAATATGTCTTAGCCCTCTAAATTGCATGGTTCTCCTCAGTCTAATTGGCTCCAGCATGCATGTCATTAATATACTAGAACACAACAACAACAAAGCCTTAATCCAACTACATGTGGTCGGCTACATGAAACCTTTTTCTCTATTACGTTCTATTTAGTGTCATATTTCATTTAGTTCTAATAAATTAAGATCTTTTTTTATACAATAACCTCAAGTCTTTCTAGGTCTACTTCTGCCTTTCTTAACATAAGTCGAATCTAAAACATCTACTCTCGTAATCGGATCATCAGATGATCAATGTTTAATGTGACTAAACTATCTAAGACGACTCTCTAATTTTGTCCGTTGCTGGAGCTACACCAACCTTAATCATGGAGATTCATTTCACATTTTGTCTCTAAGTGTAAAGCCACTCATCCACCTAATCATTCTCATCTCGGTAACACTTAACTTAATATTATGCTTCTCTTTTAAAGGCCAACATTCAACGCCATAGAGCATTACAGGTCTCACCACCGTCTTATAAAATTTTCCTTTTAGCTTAAGCGGTACTGTTTTATCACACAAAAGGCCCGAAACATTCCTTCACTTCAACCAACCAACTTGAATTCGGCTACATTCGACTATTAACATTCCCATCTATATCACCATCGCTTTGAACAACAAAGCCGTGATATCATATTAGAACACAAATGAAACAAAAAAGCATGCTTTTAATTTCAGGTTATAGATCTCTCATTAACTTCGCCATTTGAAATAGCAATCATTTAAGTCAAAATGTTCTTTCTGAAGATTGTAGGAAGCCAAATTTTGGTGAAAATTGTGAAGAACAAGCATGCACCACCATTCAGAACTGCTCAGTTTGAGTTGGAGTTTGGAAAGGGTATCTGTCTTGCTTCAGAACTGATAGAGCTGGGGCTGAAGCATAAGTTCATTACAAAAACCGGGGGTGCTTTCTACAAGCTGAATGGGCAGAGCTTCCATGGCAAAGATGCAATCAAGCTCTACTTGTCTGGAAATGAAGAAGCACGGCAGGAGTTAATGGTGAATCTGAGAGAGGTTTTGACTCAGACTGATGCGGGGAGAAGGCATGAAACAGGAGGAGGAACTCCATCTGTAGATGGAGATGAACAGGAAGAAATTGTGGTTTTTGATGCTTCTGATACAACTGAGGAGGAAGTAGTGACTGCCATTGAGGTATGAAACATCATTATTTAGGATTTAGTGTTTGGTCAAATGAGAAATTGATCCTAATTGTGGCAGAGCAGAATGAACCTTTGATTGATTAATTGGGAATTTTCTGGCTGGGTGTTAAATAGCCATTTGGGGTTCATTCAGTAGCTATGTAGTTTTGAAAATTGGCATTGGTGCCGCCATATATTTGTATATTTCAGGAATTCTAGCTTTGGAAGATGGGGATTCCTTGAGATGGAGTTTTGTAAAATGATATAGATAGAGCATTGCTTTGGTTCACATTTTGTTGAATTAGTTTGATGAAAACAATTAGATCATGTTTTTTCTATATTTCAAATAGTTCATATAAAAAGTATTTGACTGAAAAAAAAAATTTCATATTTAAATTTCTTTATTTATATTCAAGACTGAAAATATTGAAATAAAATTAAAATGGCATCTACTAAAACTCTTGGACATTGAGCTGCTTGAATTTGAGTTGCCTTTTAAGGGTCTGTTTGGGGGCAAATGTAACGATTTGAGCAAGCAGATGTGAAATTGTTGCAGAAAAAATTGTTTTTAAAAAATTTATGATGACTATTAAAATTTGTTTTATTTTCAATCATAACTTTCTGGCAATTATAACATTTTAACAGCTTTGGTTTAGAAAAGTAAACTTTTACCACAAATTTTTTAAAAATAACAAAAAACAATTCTCCAAATAAAATTATGGTGATTTGAAAAAAATAAAAAATCATCTCAAATAGATCTTAAATTTGTCTGAAAATTGAGCTACTGGAATAGAAGTTGCCATTAAGAGTCAGTTTGGGATTCTTGCAGTTGTTTGAAGCTGTTACTGTAGAAATTACTTTTAAAAAAATTGTGATAATTATTAAAAAATTATTTTATTGTAAAGCAATAATTTCTTGCAGTTACTAAATTTTAACAGGTCAAAAAAATAATTTTTTATCACAAAAATTTCTAAGAAAAACAAGAAACCCAAATAGAATTATGGTGGTTTGAAAAATAAAGTAGACATAAAACTGTCCCAAACCGACCCTAAAATTGGGCTCTTATGACTGATGTCTGACATGCAAGCAGTTCATCCTATCATGTTTCTTTCTGGTTTGCGTAGGCCTTATTTAGGTGTTCCGAATGTAAAAAGCAAACTTATGATGATAGATAATGTAGATACATAGAATTTGGTGTCACGTTATAGCATCATGTCTCATGCATATCCATATCTTATTATTTTTTTAACAAAACCTAAGGATTATATAAACATATAAAGCAAACTGAAAAAGAAAATCAGCAGTGTTTACATAATAGAAAAACATTTTAAAATGACAATGAAGAATTAATAAAAATAATGGATACAGTAGTTGTTACAATGCAACTGTTTGACATACTAATAACTCTTATAGCTAAAAAAAGCAGTGCTCACCGGCTGGCCCAACTTAGTGCAGTAAGTTATGCCTAGATCAGTACTGTATAGATTAAAGAAACATGACATCACATTTCTGTCCAAAATTTATGAAAAACAAATTTTATTGCCCATTTGAAGCGTCCAATAAAAGCAATTGTAGTCCTCCAGTTTTAGTTCCGCAGTGCACGACTTGTTGAAGATTGAAAACTGATTTCTCACCGATTCTTCCTAATCTACACACTAAGACTGAGCATGAAAGACATGGCAGCCTTCTATTTTACTCCAATGGATTACACAATCTATCCGATCAGGTTATCAGCTTTGCTTATTTTGCTGCCTCTTGTGGAGCAGACAAGATCTTATCTACTGCGTTGAAGTATGGCCAGCTCTTTCTAATTTTCTCATCATTTCTACTTTCCTGCAAGAAGAGAAGGGAGTCAGTTGAAACTAAGTTTGAGAATCATAATTAATGCATATATGTATTGAAGAGAAGAGTCAGGCTTATTTAGAAGTTCTCACAAGAAATATTAACCGGTAGGATGTCTGCCGAGGATTATCATAAAGTTGCAAAAATAAGATGAACAAAAGCAGCTTTGTTTGCGCATTATCATTTTAGAAAATGGAGGTAATAATGTTGATAGGTACTACTCACTACCAAACTGCAGCTATGTCACAATTAAATGCAACTCATGAGAATACATATATTACATCAAACTAAAATTTTGCTTTCTCCAAAACGCATTTTCCTGTGTTCCTGCTCCAAATATACAACCAAAAACATATTTCAAACACAAGCCAGGCTCGATCGGCACATTTTAACACGCTTTCACCTGTCCAGATGGTTTAGTAAGAAGTTGAAAGCACAAACTAAAAATAAAAACATTTTTATAAATTATGCAGAAACCACAATATTGCAATAACTTGGTAAAAATCGTAACTTGGTTATATGAACTTACATAATTTTCTTTTGAGGTAATGGTTATTAAACACCAATATGTAAGATACCTCATATAAATGCACCTATTAACTTCACATTGGATAAATAGCATGTTATGGCATAGGGCCGTTAGAATCTAAGCGTCAAACAAGTGCGATTGATATAGCTTAAAACTTTGAAACTACATGGTTATATAGAGAAAAAAATTTTGAGAAGGAAAAAGAATAAGCATCGCAGATCGAAGTAAACACCTCATATTTTTGAACAAGGGATGCCCACAGAGACTTGCACTGTGCGGAAGAACGGATTATTCCATGGGCTGACATGATAGAAGATACATTTTCCCATAGAGCCATTCTTCCTCTAACAGTCTGAAATTTACTATTTAAATCACCACGTTCTTTAATTAATCTTGTAATTTCTTCAGGCTTCCATTTGTTCCTTTTTCCGGGTTTGGGACTACCAGTCTTCGCCTCTGATACCTTCATTGATTCCCCTCCGCTTGCGTTACTGGATTTCACATGTTCTACAGAAGATGTGTTTTCATCTTCCAAATCTTCTGATTCTAGCAAAGGATCTTCCACATGTGATTTCTCAGCCACAAAATAATCATCTGCAAGAACATTTTACATTTAGAAGGTATCAGACAATTTATTATAGAATACTCCTTTCATGCCACCCCCCTTGGTACCCATTTCAGAAGATTGCTCGTTCAAAGTTAGAAATTCATGCTTGGAACAAAAAATACTACCAAAACAATTCTTGACAACCAAAATCAAAGAGAAGTTTCCTGCATTACCTTCAGCCTCTGTTTCGATAAGGTTTCTCATTACGTTTGCTGTATCTTCATCAAAACTGCTGCTTGAATCCTTCCTCATGCGAATATCTAAATGTTGATTCATTGCAGAAGAATCAAAGCCACCATAAGTTTTTCCTGCTATTCTTTCCCTGAGTTCTTCGGAGAGAGCACCAACGGTGTTCTCAACAGCAATTGCAATGACTTCTGGTCTTCGACTGCAGTATTTTCTAACCACCTTCCTCAGTACTTCAGATACAATCCTTTCCATGTGAACCAATGGGCAATTTACAGGACAACTTGATAATGCAGCGTGTGCAGCTTTGTACAGTGCATCCAACAACTTCCCTTTGTCCAGCCACAAACACCGGGTACTAATTCGTATTTTCCCTTTCAAGCATGGTTGTGACGATCCATTTATATGTCGCGGACGTGAGATTTCCATGCTACCATTGAAAATATTGCCATTAATACATAGGAACCACAGTAGCAAAATATGACTTCAGTGGTCATACCTATTTTAGTTGATATGGATACAACACCCCTCACAATTCACATACAAATTGCAAACTCATGGTGTTAGTATATACACATTATGTAATATCATATCTCTAGACTTGTACACTTTGTTTTATATTTATTTTGTAATTTAATTGTTATATTTCTTTCCTCCATTAGTGTGTTCACGTGATCGATCGTTCAACTTCTGCTAGCACGGAAGGTTGCGAGCGAAGAAAATCGGACGATTTCAGAAGATTTTAAGTTAAGTTCAAAATACTCCATTGCCGTCTACCCTTGCCCAACAAATAATAGTGTCAAAATGCATCCTCTCCAACCATTTGACATGCTCTTAATATTTTAAATTACTTAAAAAAAAAAAAATGTCACCTATCAATCTTAAAACTTGAATCTAAGGCACTACTCTTATCTTTTCAGAATTCCAATTCACTTATTAGACTAATTAATAAAAGAGTAAAATTAGCGTTCTTCAATTGATCTAAACTTTTCTTAAGATTGTTTAGTTAATTTCATTAAGAAAAATGCAAGGAAAAGAGTCCTATAAATTGCTCAACTATTCTTATTAAATTGTTTGATCATAATAATATCCAAATTATCCCATTATTTATTAATACAATACAGATTTAATTTTTTGTACAGGCAGTTTTAGGCTTGAATGATATAACTATCATTATTTTGATATTTTATTTAAATGTTTTTTTTTAGTTGTTAATATTAATAAATTAAAGTTTCTTCAATATAATTAAAAACTAATCAAAATTAATATTAATATTGTTACCGCTAAAGCTTATATAATATGAATAATTTTCATTTATTAATAGACTGTAAAACCAGAATGAAGGTCTAATTCACAAAATGTACCAAAAATAATTTCATTTTCTTTAAAATCGAGAAAAGAAGTGAAAAAAACAATATAAATAAAAAACCGAGACAATAATGGCGAATGTTGGTTCTACAAATTCATGACCGCTCCTTAAAGACTCTGCATTATTTTATTTTTATTTTTGTTGAGAGCTTTGACAATCAATTTTTCAGAAAACAGATTGAATTGTAAATAAGACACTACTCAGAAATTTCACCCTCATTTTATGAGGGCGTTTTGATTCGAGGTTTGAGGTTTCTCATAAACGCAAGCCTTTATAGTTAATTACTCCATTGATAATAAGAGTACTCTTTCAATTAAGGCTAGTCATTAAGAATCGAGTATTTAACATGTAATAACAATAGAATTTTAATATTTTAGTTGCAAAATATATCACTTCAAGTATAACGCGGATGGTGGGGAAATGAAGATGGAACTTGATCAAGATCTCATAGTTCCGTCATCCCGGGTCGTCGTGGTCCTTGATCTACTTAGTTTGAAGAGGTAGTTGACCCAACTTGACTAAATGATTCTTGTCAGCAGCCATGAGTTGCTTGGCAGATGTTTGTCTAAGGAAACAAAATTAACCTTAACAAACAGAAGATTTTATGTCAATAAATTGTACCCTTATGATTGACAATTCAAAAAGTAAAAAGTCATTGGGGAATATATGGGCTGCGGTCGTAACCGTAACATAATGTAATCATTTGGCGGCAAACAACCGGTCAGAGAACTCTAGTCGAACCGCTACTTTGTGGTGCCATTTGGCGGCAAACAACCAGTCAGAGAACTCTAGTCGAACTGCAAAATGAGACTGCCAGAGAATTCATGCCAGGTATTTTTCTTACATGTGATTGTTTTGATTATGAATATATGAATATATTTAATATGACATTCACTCTTTGTGAGCTGAGTCAATCAAAAGTTTGTCACCCTTGACAAAATTCTGCGGATTGTGGATGAATTTTTTGCTTTTAGCTTTTAGTGATTGATTTTGACTTGAATATTTGGTTTTTATTTACTTCAATTCTTTAGGTGATTGGCTTTAATTTAAATATATTGATTTGTCCTTTTGATAACTTGATTTGAAATTTGATTTGAAACTTGATTTGAAAATTGATTTGAAAGTTGACCCCTGCGGTTGAGATTAATAATCAACATGGTCATCATCAAAGAAAGTTTATCTTTGAACCCTGTTGACTCTATCCTTCTTATAGAGGATCAGACATAGTGATTGAATTCAAAATAGACTTTGCAGCATAATTTTAAAATTGACTCATCCGATTGAAATATTTTATCAACTTGACCATCATCGAGGATTTGGTTATCTTTAAACCCTGTCTACTCTGTACCGTTTACAGAGGACCGAGATTAGTGATATATCATTTGAATTTATTCAGATATATTTTAAACTTAAATTTGAAAATAGATTCTTCCAGTTGAAATCTTTTATCAACTCAGCCATTATTGAGGAGAGTTTATCTTTGAACTCAGTCAATTTGGTTCGCTTATAGAGGATCAGACTCAATAATTGAATTCAAAATAAACTTTGAAACATAACTTTAAAATAAACCCATCCGATCGAAATAATCTATTAACTCGACCATCACTGGGGATTTGATTATCTTTGAAACTTGTCGACTCTATTCCACTTACAAAGGATTAGGCTCAATGATATATCATTTGAAATTATATAAATATATTTTGAAATTTAATTTTGAAAATAGACCCTTTCAGTTCAAATCTTTTATCAACTCGGACATCGTTGATGAATTGTTTATATTTGAATCCCGTCAACTCTATCTCGCTTACAGAGGATCAGATTTAATGATATATCATTTGAATTTATTCAAATCGATTGTGAAACTTAATTTTTAAAATAGACCAGTCCAATTGAAATTTTCTATCAACACGACCATCATCGGGGAGTTAAACATTTTGTTTTGTTAGTTTTAACTTCTTAGGGCATGAGTCTATGTCGATTCCTATCCTTACAAGAGGAGGATCATACCAGATGATTTAGAGTTGTAAATTTTTATATTAAGATTTTAACATTTATTTCAAAAGTATTAGACTCGTCAATTCCAGTCCTTGTGAGGAGGAGAATTGGACTAGTTATGTGAGACTTACAACTCTATCCTATAGACAAGACAACCCGATTAGCCCGCACAATATTCTCAAATCTAGTATTTGAGCATTCAATATATTGGTTGGAGTACGTGCCAGCATTTCACTTTTTATGTTTGCACACTTTCAAGGGTTTTACATGCTTTGAATAATTCTGATGACTTGTTTCAAAAAGGAACCTACATGACAATTGAATTTTGAGACATTCATAGAGAATCTTATGAACTTGCATTTACATAACTTCACTTGGAGCATAAAAATGATCGGCTTCTGTTCGCTAGCAGACACGTTGCGAATTTGGTGATGATATTTTCATATTAAGTAATTGTTTTAGTATTTAAACATGACATTCATGTCTCATATTTAGCCCCAATTTATGATATTTCACATTTAAGTCAAGCTTAGCTCCAGTTTATAAATTTTATTTTTCAAATTTAAGTTTAGCCCAAAAATTAAAGTATTTAAATAGATCCAATAAACATTCATTTCCATCAAGACATTTTTATTTGATCAAAATCAAATATAATCTAATCTGAGACTTCTATATCACAATTTATATTTTCCTTTATTTCTGTTTTGACATTATTTTAAGTCCAAATAATTCAATTTTTTAAGAACATTTGAAAGTCCAAAATCACTATAAATTTCAGCAGCCTCTCGACGTCGTTTCTCTTTGAGGGGGTTGCATCAGGGTGTTTGTCTGCCCAGCTATCTATCAGTATCGTGAGATTGAGACCGAAGAGAATCTTCCAATCTACCATTCTTTAATACACAGGAAGACCTTCGATTATCCCACATAAAAATAAAGTGAGTCTTTGTGTTTATAGCTCTGCTTGTGATATGAAAATGATGTCGGTGGGCTGATGAGTTACCATGCAAATGTCTCTTTATATATATACATATATACATATAAGCAGGTTGTTTAGTGATTAGGGTTCTCAACTTATCAATTGAGGGCAGAGCAAAAAGAGAGTTAGGGAAATTGGGTTTGAATAGGCGACGAAAGAGTGACAGTACAAAACAATGAATAGAGGTGCAACTAGATCAAATGCAGGACAAGGAAAAGGAGGGCCAAATGGGAGGAAGGCACGCAGGGATTGAGCGGCAAGACAAGGGAAGAAGGAAATAGAGGGGCTTCGACGGGCTAGGGCAGAGCGAATCACATGAATTTGCAGGGAGTTGGACAAGGTAGGCGAAAGACAGGAAAGAAGGATTTCGACGGAAGGAGGGGGCGAAGCAGGACTTCTGTGGGCTTTCTTCATCTACCTCCATGGTTTTGGATAGGAGTAGTGCGGAAGGAGATGAAAGATGAGAGTTTCAGGTCTCTGTATGCCGGCGATTCTGTTCTTGTCTTCCCAATTAGAGCAAATCACGGCTTTCTCGTGAGAGATTTAGGCAGTTTCAAGGGTTTTTGTACACGATAATCCTGCTATCGCTTTCCATAGAGCAATCGCCATAGCTATATCGTGATGGAAATGGCGCGGAAGGAGAGAAAGACGGGGATCTTCATACGCAGTGATCTTGTGGTTTTCTTTTGCGGCTAGCCCTAACAACAACTGTCTTGCAATTGGGAGTAGGCAAGCAGGACCCGGAACAACCGCGATTGAGAGCAAGTAGCACTTGGGTTTTGACTGAAGCGGGCGAAAAAGACAAGCGGGGTTTTCTTCTCCGTGGTCTTTTTTTTCTTTGTAACTGGCCCTCCCCTCCCAGCCCCTTTCCAAAGCTTCAAATTTATTTTATTTATTTTTTTAATAAACAATGGGAATGATTATTCTGTGAACTGAGTGGAAGTGGATACAATTTTTAATGTTATTTTATTTATTTTTTTCATTTCTTTTTTTTTAAAAAAAATTATTTTAGGGGTCAACAATGAAAAAAAAAAAAAAAAACCAAACCTGCGCATGAAAGGACAGTTTTCACTCTAATTCTAAGCTTGCCAACTAGTTTGGCAAGATTCTATCCAAACACATTCCAACAAAATTTCAAGCGCCCGACTGACCTTTCTAAGAAAGCTTATGCAGGAATTGGAACAATACCAGACAATTAATATTCCGTCAAATGCAATCCTTAACCTCTCATCAATACAAAGTTCTTCCGACGTTCCAAATGCTTTGTCACCATCACTATACATCAACTGTAATAGAGGAATATAAGTTAGATCCTTGATAGAGCCGCACAACCAAAAAATAAATAGTCGTTACCTGTAAATTCTCCTTTCCTAATAAAGCAAATCCATTAGACAAAACTCTTCTGTTCCTGAGATGGGAAACTCCGAGCATTTCCCCGTTCTTTATTACCTGCGATACAGAAAACCATAGAGCTGTTTCACCTAATTTCTCATTTGTCATTCTGGGTTCTATAAAAATACCTAGATTTCAAAACGTCAAAAGGTAAACGGGAAAAGAGTTTTGACCTCTAAAATAACATTGAACAACAAAAAATTTACAAAAAAAGATGTTCCTTGTTGATCTCACGAATGTCTTAAACCCAACCTGATTGATCAACGGTTGCCACATCGCAGATGCATCACACAAATTAAAATCATCTAAACATTGCTAATTTCAAAACAAATTGCATTGATACGTCTAAAGCATCCAAATTACCAAAAAAATGGTCCACGCAATCAATTCAATTCAACATGACCAAAATAGCATATAACAGACATGATGCACCATGAATTAAGCTTGAAATGCTAATGTTGTCCGTTCTTAAAAGATATTGCATCAACAAGTTCGAAGCATCCAAAATGCTTGGGAACGACGATTGACTTGTCTAGCGAATTACACAAGAAAAGGCAACAAAAAAAAAAGAAAAAAAACCAAAACTATGCATCTGTGCCCACACAATCAATTCAATCAAACACAACGAAAATGGACTATGGGCTTGTCATCATGCGAAACACAACAAACATTGCCTGTTTGGCAAAATGAAAAATGCTGAAGAATCCAGAATGTCAAAATTAGATAGAAGGGATACTCATATCAATTGGGTTGTCAAATGAAAGCAAAACATGAAATTTAACCCCAAGCATGCGACAAGAATGAAATCCAACGTTCAAATGGCAAAAAATCTACGAGGAATTAACATACATCTATTAAAACAAAAAAGAAAAAAAGAAAAAAAAAATCAAAGCAACAAAAAAAACTCAAATGAGTTTTTTCTTAATTGAATTATAAAAAAAAAAGAAAAAAAGTAAAGGAAAAAAAGACACAACCCACCTCTCTAATCTCTTGCACCAATCCAAAAATTAATTAAAAGGACCACTAAAAAAAGAAATTTAATTAGCAAATAAAAGTTTATCTTTATAGTTGCTGATCTCACATTTTGTAAACATTTTTTTTTCTAGTATTCATCTTTTTTTTAAAAATATAAACCTGAAAAATATTAAAACAACATACTGAGTCTTCTAAAATAACTTGGTGAAACAATTGTAACTTAGTGAAACAATTGCACTTCTAAACTACGGTGACTCAAAGAAAAGAAAATAATATGCATGCTGGTATTTTATGTTTTATTGTAGAAAATTATATAATAATCTAATCCATGTATTCATGACATATACTCAATAGAAATAATCTAGAATTCGATATTCATCAACTTTATCTTTACATTTCAATATTTAATCTTTTAACTTATTTTAACTTTAATATACATCATACACAACTTCTATACCCATCTCAAGAGCACCATATAAATATAACATAACACACCCCTTGCCGATACACACATGTCGACAGATAGAGCGCAGACTAGGTCTACTATTGTTCGAGGTGAAAATACACATACTCACCATGGACTAATATTCTCCCATCGACACAACAATTCATGATCTGAATTACACGATTGTCTGAGATGGTAGGGCGTCCACTGACTCCTGACTGATATCCTCCAGTTGACATGACGGTTAGTGATATAAATTTCACAATTGTCTGAGGTGACAGAAAAATATCAACATGCGCAAGTACATTGGTATCCTCAACCAATACTACAAGGGATAACACTTTTTTTGATATGCACATACAAGCATTCATCTATAAAATATTTTTATTTCAATATTCCAAACATTATTTTCTTATAAGATATTTTGTATTTATCTACCAGTGAATAAATACACCTTCACTATAATCTAAATCATGCAATAATCTAATATACACATCTGCACTAGAATCTAAAAGTCATCTAATACTTTGACATCTTTCTAGGAAAACAAATATGCAACTATTTAAGCATCATTGTTAACATACATATTTCATACATAGCAATATGAGGAATTAGTTGCAATTTAAGTCTCAATTGTATAGATTATAATATATCTAAAGTAAAATAAAGAATATATTTAGAAATAAAATATATTACGAAAATTTAGAAATATAATTACTCACTTCAGTTGTCATGCTAGATTCTAAATCTTCGGGTAACCAACTTGGGGTCACGATGCTCTTTTATGTTGATATTAATAAATAATAGAATATAAAAGCAAACTTTTAAGATTCAAATAATTTTTTTGTTAACAGAATTATTTTTCAATTATTGCTGATGTTATTATTATTATTTATATGTATTTGTATTCATTGCTCTCTTTAATAATTAAGTTAATGGATTAAACTTTTCATTCCAATTTATCTATAATTAACCTCTATTATGAATGAAAGTAGAACTATACTAAAGCATATTTATCTTAAACTTAAAAAGGTTTTCATCTACAACTAACCATTATATTTAGAAACACAATTGCTCACTTCAGTTGCCAGGCTAGATTCTCAATCTTCGAGCAACCAACTTCGCGTCACGATACTCTTTTATGTTGATATTAATAACCAATAGTATAAAAGCAAACTTTTGAGATTCAAAAATTTTTTTGTTATAGAATTATTTTTCAATTATTACTACTGTTATTATTATTATTTATATGTATTTTTATTCATTGCTCTATTTAATAATAAAGTTAATGGATTAAAATTTTCATTCTAATTTATCTATAATTAACCTCTATTATGAATGAAAGTAGAACTATACTAAAGTGAAAATTAATCTTAAAGTTAAAAAAGATTTTCATCTACACCTAACTTTTAGGATTAATAAGAATACCAAACTAATAAATCTATCTTTTATTTACTAAAAATATAATCCTCCTAATTTATAAATATTGAATCATTATAAAGAACCTGCATTTAAGAAATTCATAAATAATTTAACGAAAATAATTAAATTAGACCATAGTTCATATACTTGTTAGTCATATAATCTTATTTATTATACTAGTTAAGCTTATACCAAAATTATAAAATTATTTACAATTATCGTATTTTAATATCTTGTGCTTACTTTCTCATATTTGTTAATTTCAAATTAATTTATTTACAATTAAAATTAACACAATAACTTTCAATTAAAAATTAAAATATTTAATTTAAAACATAAAGCCCTAACATTTACCTCCTCATCAAAGGCTCAGTGTAGTTCTTTCCCACACTACATGACTATAGTTCACCCTTATCCTTTTGCTTGAATACAAGCTGTCTGATGCAAATCATAATATTATTAATAAGAAATTTTAATTGAATATATAAAATTGCTTTAACTTTAATTCAAAATAAAACCCTATCCTTTAAGTTTTCAGATCGGTTCAACCCCACGGTTTGATTCTATTGCAAGCGCTTCGTATCGAATTTTAGCACATAGACCCAACTTTAGCTCTTGTGTGAAATCAAGCACTACCCTCGCAAGCGCCCACCTTGCTATCAGATCCTACCCCAGTCCCGCTCGAATCAACCTCACGCCCCTTCTTGCAATCAACAAAACTTCTCACAATCCTCCATTCTTTGTCACTTCTCTCTTTCACACCAACAAGATCGTCTCCACTAGCTCAACGCTTGCCTCCTGAGCCTACAGGCACTACCACCTTGAGATGTGGCTAGGGTTTGTGTTGTCTCTTTCTTCTTCCACCTTCTTCTCCCTCACCTCGCTTGTCTATTGCCTCTCGATCACACTCTCGATATCTTCTCTCCAATCCAAAAGAGATGCTCGATGCAACTCTATTTATTTTAATTAATTATTTATTTATTTTATACATATATTACAAATACCTTCACACACCACTCCCTTGCCCACCTTGGCGATTCCCACTTGCACATACATATTGTGGATTCAATGGCGAGTATTACGAGTTAGAATCTTGTCACATTGTTTTGAAATGCCCTTTTTTTTGTCTTCACATTGTAATTTTATGTTGTAGACCATTTGAGGAAACAACTTCTTTTCATAAATTAGAGGGGTTTTTTTTTAACGTATTTCACCATTCAAGATCCATTTTAATTCAATTTTCTTAATGAGGGTTTTGAGTGTAAAGAAAAGGTCCTATTTGTGTTTTTGCTCATAGTTTAGTTCTTCAAGTCCCCAAAAAGGCTAACAAAGTTGTAATCAAAGCTCACAAAGAACTTCATGGTACAATATCAAGAGACATTTGTTCTCATAAGAAAAACTGCAAAGCATGAATACTTTTCTCGCTAACTTGGGTTGGCCACAATAACAAATTAGACTAAAGAAAGGTAGAAACTTAAAAAGGTGCTTATATAACAGAGAAATTCTCATGACTTGATTCAACACATTCATCAAGTGGTTAAACATTATACATATATACAATGTCCAGCTAATCACACTCCCATTGTTAAAATTTACCTATTAATAAAACTATTATTCTGATTGTTTGTGGATGAAATCTTTCTGATAGGAGACATTGCAAAATGAATGAGCAAATTAATAAGACTCCTAACAAAAGAATTTGGGATTAAGGGCTTTGAAAATCTTGAACATTTCATATAGAGTTGACTCGATCACAAAAGGTATCTCAGGTCAACAAACTGAAGATACTCAAATACTCCAAATCGTCACCAAATTGCAGAAATTCTCATCAAGGCCCTGTCCAAGCAAGCTGGAAATTATAAGCATATACCAGTTAAGCTTGAGTGGGATGTCACTAGATTCCACGTTACCCTAAATTTGCTTATTACATGTTTTGAAAGATTTGAATTGAGGTAATAAGTGGAGAGGAACATTGCCCTTCTATAAAAAATCTGTTATAAGTTATATTTCCTCTTAGAAGTTAAGAGAATTATATTTATTTACTAACATATCTTTATTTCTTTTCCTATTTTAGATTTATTTTCTTTGATTCGATTTATTTTCTTATCTACTTTAGGCTTTCTTATTTTATGTTTTTTCATTTATCTTCAAATAATTAATATGGATTGATTAATTGGAGATACCAGATGTTATATCTTTCATTTCCCGTTTCTTTTTTTATTATTATCTTTCCTATTTTAGGATCCATGTTATATCCACTTTCATATCAATAAAATTATTCCTCATTATTTCTAAATTTTAACTTGGTGTCAAAGACAAATTCCTTGACCTAACTGTCGGTCCTCACACTAGAGCTGCCAGACTCTCTTCCTTTCATCCTCCCTGCAAGGAGGGACACTTTCTCTCTGTGCAAGCTGTCCGTAGGCTCTCACCATCGGAGTAGATCCGTTTTGCCCTCCTCGCTCGCTAGATCTCGGTGCCATTCGTAGCGGGAGACAAAAATTTCCCGATCTACTTCTCTTTCATCGTTATGACTCTGCTCGTGGAGAAGACCATTTCAGAGTGCAAATACAAGGCGAAAGACTTATCTAAGGCCGATTTCGACCGGCTCGAGATCGAGCTTGCAGAGGTTGAGATGTCATGCCCCATGGCCTGTCGCGCTGAGTTCGACCCTCCCAGTCGTTCAAAGGAGCGCGTATCTCCGACTCTCTCCATATTACAATCTAGACTGTTGTCCTCATTGAAACCCAAACCTCCCTTGGTGCCGAGGTATGTTGGTGTTCTTACAACATTTTCTCCACCCAAGACCACGTTGCAACATGCATATTTCAAGGACCACGTTGTTGCCACAATCGCTCGTGATTCCTTCATTGCTTTTTCTTGGAAGGGCAAGACCCTCCAGGAGTACTGGTGGTGCACGAAGCGCTACCTAGAATGGGGTGTCGGTGGAGGCCCGAATCTCATTGTCGACAGCAACGGTGATGCGACACTTCTTATCCATGAGGGGGTTAAGGCTGAGGAGTACGAGAAGAATGGGAAAACTCCATATCTGATTTCTACGAACAATGCAAAATTCTAGATCGTGGTTGGGCTCATCAGGGATAGCTTAAGCGTTGATCCGAAGAAGTATCAGAAGATGAAGGAGAGAATAGTTGGCGTCTCTAAGGAGACGACCAAAGCAGTGAAGAGGTTGTACCAAAAGCAATACAGTGGGATGCTTCTTTTCTTTGCCATCAACGTCAATGACTCGGTTACAAAGAGTAAGTTTGATAAACTATATGGTTGCCACCACTCTATCCCCAATGGCCTAATGCGAGCCACTGATGTCATGATCACTGGCAAGGTAGTCGTTGCCTGCTGCTACGACAATGTAGGCAAGGGATGTACTGCCTAACTCAAGGCTGCTGACGCTTGCATTGAGATCAACCCAATATGCGCCCTTTAGGCCCTAATGGAAGGCCTTACCGTTCTCACGCTCGAAAACGTCGTGTTTGAGGCCCACCTTTTCATCTCCACAACCGGTTGGAACTCCTCTCAGGACTACCAGATCTCTCTTTGCAGGTCCCCAACACTCGGAAATCATCTCTGTTGGATGGAAATCTTACCTATAGATCTTACCGGCGCCTTCCTATAGGCCACAAATTCCTGCCAGCCGCAAATTCTGGCAGTGACCATTATGGCATCCTTCGCTATTTCACATGCATGAATTGTGCAAACGAAAGGAAGCTTGTTACAGAGAAGTTCATCTTTGGCTTGTTTTCAAAACAACTTGAGGAAGGTTATTACAGAGGCGAGAATGGATGTATCCTTGAATAGAATCCCAACAGTCACCCTACATGCCCTTCTTCGTCGGTTTTTTCCCTGCTGCCAAAAAAACTCTATTCAGGTCTTGCTCTATTTTTTTCCTTTGCCACCAGAACTTTTTCCTATAGTAGACTTTCCTTCGGACCCTTTTCCTGCATTAGTCCCTCTTCTGGAATCTTTCTTACAACAAACCCTCCGCAATGCAATAGACCTACCTCTGGAGTTTTCTCCTTTTTTTCTGTAGGACCCGCAGCTTTTTCTGGAAGCTATCTACTTCCTTGCAAACTCCTCTACGACATTACCTGCAGGAGCCTTCCACCCACCTATAGACACTGCAGACACTGCAATCAAAGACAACCACAGTCAACTAGAATAGAGTTTTCTAGCAGGTTGTCTACTTCACTACAAACTCCCATGTAGCATTACCTGTAGAAGTCTTCTACCTACCTACAAATATTGCAGGAACTATTGTCAAAGACAACCGCAGTCTACTAAAAGTCAACTTTCCTGCAGGTTGTCTACTTCCTTGCAAATTCTCTTGCAATATTATCTGTCGGAGTCTTTCGCCTACCTACAGACACTGCAAGAATTGCAATAAAAGACAATCGCAGTACAGGATGCAAACTTCAATTTCTACTTCACAAGATCTTCCTCGCTTATTGTTTGATGTTTTCAAATCCAAGTTAAGCATGATTTTCAACCATGTTTCAAATTGAGGGGGAGTGTTAGAGGTTATATTAGGAAATAATTTATTCCCGTTAGAAGTTATGATAATTAGATTTATTTCCTAATATAACTTTATTTCATTTCATATTTTAGATTTATTTTCTTGGATTGGATTTATTTCCTTTACTATTTTAGGCTTTTCTATTTTATGTTGTTTAATTTATATCAAAATAATTAATATGGATTGATTAATTGGAGATACTAGGTTTCATATCTTTCCTTTCCTGTTACATCTTTATTATTTTCTTTCTTATTCTGAGATTTATGTAAGGGTTATTTATACCCCATTTCATATCAATAAAAATATTTCGCATTATTATGAATTTCAACAAACTCCATCACCCCTATTCAGTAGATCAATGGAATAAAATATCTTTATTTCTCCAGTTTGAATCTTTAAAATTAGCTCCTGCATCAAGATATCAAAAGCTTCAAGAAACCAAGGCCTGCAGCCACTATTTTCCAATCCTGTACTTGGAATGCAGTGAAACTATAAACATCTAGCATTTATGACATACATAATAGAAA